TAAAAAAAAAAAAAAAAAAAAAAAAGAGGAAGAATTCATGTTAAGAAAAATTATCTAATATCGCAAATATAAAGTTTTATCAAATATGAGGTTGAGTCAAATTACTTCTTTAAAATGAATGCTCTAAGAAGAAAAACCATATATAACTCATAATATTTCCAATTTTAACAAAAGACTAACAATCTTAAGAGCAGTTAAGTCTGCAAGAAGGATGTGTTGTATTTTTTATAAGCTTCCGTCAATATTTCTTATTTACGCTATAGTTAGCACGAAATGAAAATGATTTTACAGCTCCAACCAAACCATTCTATACCCTCGAAAAAAGTGGATTATAAGTTAGAAATTACTTCCAGGTCGAAGGCATCCTCCCAAAGTATTCTACTTGAAAGAATGGCGAACAAAATAAATCCTTAATAACCAAAACAAAGATCCCCCCGAGTTTGTGGTTAAGGCCGTCTACCTTTCCCAAATAAAATCCCTAAAAGAGAAGCGGCCAGAATCTGTACATACGCTTTAGGATTTCAATCTCATTGGAATTACGGGCTTTCCACGTCATTTCTGTCCCCCGTCCCGGTACCGGGCCAAACCCATCACGCAAATGCATTCGAAATCGTGCCGGGGGATTTATGCAGGCTTAAGGTGTCCGAAGAAGCACTCAAGTCATTAAACTTGGCTCGCTCGCAAACAAAACTCTCAGAGATTCAGTGAAAGCAGGATGAGAAAGAGAAAAAGGGAGGAAAAACGGGATCTTGCACCAGAATAGGGAGAGTTAAGTTCCTAATTTAAAATTAAAATACATTCAATTTAATATAAATCTCATGACTATATTTCGAAAGGGTAGAGTAAGAGACGAGAAAAAATAGTAAAGGAATGAGATTGCTTCCCGCATCCAAGTTTTTCTGGAACAGCGAAAAGAGGGAATTCACTTACGTAAAGAGACTTGCCAGGAAAAGGAAGTAGGAGCAGCGGGAAAAGAACCCACTTTAATGGGTTTCATTCCAGAGATTTTATCGGAGGGGTATTGTTGATTAATGTCCCCGCATTCGTTTGCACACCAAGAGTGAAAAATATCTCACACGATAATAATTAGTTTCAGACTGGGATCATTTAAGAAACACAACTAAAGGCGAGACACAGTTTGTAAAAGGGTGCATTTAGCAATCATAAAGCAATTAACGAAATGTTGTGTACTGGTTATATTAGTTAACATTAAAAGTACGTGTGTAAAAGCATTACGTCGCTCTTTCCAGGTATGTTGATGCGCGAAAAATTGTGCTTCTTCCAATTTGTTTTTCAGAATTTTACTTTATTCCTTCTTTTTGTTTTCCTGTAGTACACAATAGATAATTTTGGTCTTATTTTTGCCTCTTATAGAAACACATATAATTATACTTAGTTTCTTTGGAATTTTCGTGTAAAAACGATATCTTTATCTCGATTCAATAATTAATAGCAATTATATTTTCATGTTGGATACTCAATTTAACAAACTGTATTAAGATAAAATAAAGATATATATGTGCAATTTGCTTTTACGAATCAGGAAAACAAAGAAGTAATTGGAATTCTGGCGACATATAAAAAGCTAGTTTTAATTTTTTTTAAAACTTTTTATGTGTTAATTGTTTTTGTTTATACTATGTTTTGTGTCCATTACTTACTTCCAGTTAAGAGTCCCATTCACCGTCAAACAATATAATTTAACTTAACTAGTACTATATTCTGCCTATGACTTTTTCAATTTTAGAAATTGCGACTAACTATAAAAAGAGAAACCTATTCTCTTATGTCTTATGTTCAGTAATTGAACTTCAGATGGACAGTTTAAAAACAAACAAACAAACAAAAAAGAGTTCTGATGATTTAGAATTACAAACATAGTGCTAATTAATTGCATTCCATTCCATCGTAAACTTTGAAAGTATAGTAAATTCAAATGATTTTACTTTCTATTTTTTTACAATATTTTTTTATAAGTTCTAATTCTAAAAATATTAATAATAATATTTTCTTATCTCACTTTTACAACAAGTTTTGAATACTCATACACGCAAGCAGAATACAGCAGCTAAGTATTTAAGGGCTTTTTAATAATTGGCATTAAGAACTGATTCTTGAAAATCTTATTTGATATTAGTAAACAAAATTAAAGGTATTTAGGACTATCTAAATAAACTAATAAATGATTCTTATGGTAAACATTCTAATAATTTCACAATATAATGAAACTATAACTTAATACTTATTTAAAAAGAAAATTTCATTTTTTTAAAAAAAAATTATTACGTGATTTTTTAAAAAAATTTAACAAAATTCAAATATATGATTTTATGCTAAATATTTTTATAAAACTCTGTGTCCCGAATATTCTATTTTTGTTTTCGGGTTATTTCTTGAATAAAACAGTATCTTAAAACTCATAATTTAATTATTATTTTTAAAGTTATTTTAAAATTGTTTTTCAATTATTAATGGGCTTTTTTTTCTATTTTAAATATGAACCAAAATCTTTAATAAATATAGCAATTAATTTTACAATATTTGCATAAAAATATTTTTATTTCAATCAATTTGATTTTAATTAACAGCTTTATTGCTTGAAAAATGTTATAAAAACTACGATTTTTATTTTTAATATAAATACTTTCATTTTTGCATGTTGTTAAGGCAAGAAACCTGTCAACACTTTTCCCCGTTGATTTCAGAGGACTGTTTTCATTACATATCTCTTTACTCAGATTTTTTCATTGCATTCCTCAAAACTTAATATGTGATACAGCCCCCCTTTGGTGACCGTATCTTTGATTGTCAGCGTGAGCTAGAGGTGTAGGGTTTACGAAAGGAATAGACATTTTAAATTCTTAATATGACTTTATTAAGAATAGAACTTAAATGTCTAACAATTTAGATAAATTTAAATAGCGAGAATCTAGAATGAACAAACACACACAATGATAGTTAAACCGAATCGCGTAACTTAGACCACTTTCACTAAATAATTATTTAATCCGCCTACTCTCACTTCTAATAATATTATAAGTCCTAATATCAAATAATAAGTCCTACCTTAATCCAAACTTAGATTTGATCTTTTTATGGAAACGTCTGGGCGCGCGTACAATGGTATGCACCTTGTAGTAATGGCTGTGTTTCCAGGTAACATCACGAGTGGCTGTCAATTCAGGCTTGTAACTCTTCAAACCTAACTTTCCCCAAATTGCCGTCCTGCTTACTGAAACTTCTGTTCTTTTAAAAGCTCTCTTATTTGCATTCCTTGTTCACATTTCGCTTCTTGGGTTTTGGTTGGAAAAGAGTTGCCATTAATCTTGGCCATCAAAGAACCCAGAGGTTATGTTAAAGAAAAGAGACGCGTGAGCCCGTCACAAATATAATCAAGAATGAACTTGCTAGATTTCTGATACCCTCTGATCTATAGAATTGTTTTTTTTCCCTTTTATCATAGACTTTCTTAAAAAACAAATAAATATTTTTAACTCATTGCTATATAAATATTTTAACCCAAAACACGAGCTATTAATCTTTCCTCTCAATATTTCAAATCCTCCCATTTACATTTTAAGTTGATTTTTGGAAGTTTCCATGGATTTTTCAAACCAGATCTGCTCTTTTGTTTCTTACCGTTTGGCGCAATATAGATATTTATGTATATCATTTGGATTAACCCTGCATCCCGCGATTTCCACGGGCAACGTAGATGTAGCAAAATTTGCGCTACCCGTGATTTCCACGGGTATGTATATTTTCCGACAACCAACTCTGTTCTTGTTTATGTTTTCACGTATGTTTTTATGCTCATATTTTGATAATCTATATAAGTCTATATTTTAAAATTAAAACTATTTTACAAAATTTTTTTCAATATTTCAACTTTAAAATGTAGCCTTAATATGTAGATTTGAAATACGTAATGAAGCAATACGCAATTTTTGAACCTACTTTGGTAAAATAGCCAGAAAGTTAAGATTGATTCATTGTGTTTATTAACTATACGAGAGCTACTGAAGACGGGCCAAATGATAAAGACGACATCTCAACTGGAACCTCACTCCTCGAACTCTTTCCACACCACTCCAATTGAAGGACTCTGAGCCTAACAAATACATCACGCCTTCTACACCTTAGTAAGCGACACCAGGACTCGAACTTATGAATCGGAGTTAAAAACAAGTTCGTAACCATCCTTATTAACGCCAACTTTTATTACAATCATTTGAGTAGTAAAAAATTTAAAATTTAATTTCTTTCTTTACTAAAAGCCTTTCTTCATACTTGTTGAAAAAGGGTTTTGACAATGTCTTTCTTTACTTATTAAATGTAAATCAGTTTATTTGTGTAGACTGGCCGTCAGTAGCGCACACAGGAATTTTTCAAGGGGGGGTCCGGGGTTGAAAGTTCACCATTCCTGTATCATGCTATTTTTGATTTGGTCGATTTTCAGGAACAAAACACAGTAAAA